TACTAACATTAAAGACAATAAGTAGGGAATTTATCCACTTTTCAGAACTAGATTTTGTTTTATATGGGGTAAAGAGAAAAGGATGTGTTTCTGAAAGTCATCTAGGGGTTTTCAGTAAAATCATAGATAAATAAGTATTTGAATAAAAACTTTTTAAATAATCAATTATGTAGATATTAGTAATTGTAAATATCAATTTTATGCAGAGTGATTATTGATAAAAGTAGGTAAGTAATAATAGAAAAGATGTTTGCCCCAGAACTCAGACCTGAAAGATTTTTATCCAGCTTATCTTTTATCTAGAAAGCATGAATGTTTTTTTTTTTTTATTAGCTAAAGGCTGTAGGAAATTATAGTTTGTCTTTATTTAGAAAGTATGGACTTGTTTGTTAATTTTCCTGTGGGAACAGTGTAGATTGACCCTGAGGTTATGGCGCCTATTCACTTTTGGCCACCCTTCAGTGTACATTGGTATGGAAGCCTGTTTCCACCACTCTGTAAAAAAATAATTCTCTCATTATAATGAGTTAATATCTCACTATGTTGAGATAGTAACCAGAGATGTCAGGCAACGATGTACAAGTACTTCGTTACTGTACTTAAAATCACTTTTTAGGTTTCATTCTGAGTTAATATCTCATTACAATGAGATAATTTTATTCTATTTTTCTTAACAGAGTGGCAGAAACGGGCTTCCATACTTAGGTTATAGCCTGGCCACCCTGGTAAAAATGTTCTAGCTACGCCTCTGCCTCTTCATCTTCAGGATGTCACTGAACAGAGAACTCCAGAGGCTTATTTTAGGAGCTTTTTGAACATTGTGCAGCCATCACTGCAGATTGCAGGGAGGTGGGGGGTCCCTGTTAGGACAGGGGGTCCCTGTTAGGACAGGGGGCATGCAGGCTGGGGGGGTCCCTGTTAGGACAGGGGGCATGCAGGCTGCATGCAGGAGATAGATGCAAACACACTTACTTGCCAAGCTCCTCGTACAGCTGGTACTCATCTGTAAAGCGCGTACAAGTGGTGGTTGCCATGATGTTGCTCGGTTTGGATGGATGCTGCTGCTGATGCTGCTGAGGGTGAGTGAGTGAGTGAGTGAGTGTTTGTTTGTGAGGGAGGGAAGTCCCGAAATGTTCGCTCCCTGCTTTATCTGCCGACCTCTTTGGGGGGGGCTTCAGTCCCCGCCCACCTGAGTGGTTCAGCTGCAGCCCGGTGCGCCTCTCACGGTAACCCACCCCCCCAACAACCAGCGCGGTTCCAGCACCAGCGCGCCTCTCCTCGCGCTCCTTAAATACCAGCAGAGAGGCGCACCACATGACGTGATGCTCCAGAGAGAGAGAGGCTCTGGAAGCAGGAGGGACAGGAACGTGATTAGAAATGATTATTCTTATTATTCCACAGTAAACCAAATATATCAGGAGGTAAATAAGATTGTATTTCAGGTCAGGGATCTTTTTATTTCATTATTTGCATCATTGCAGTGAGGATGCTGCAGGGATCTATTTTTAGGCTTCAGCGAGGAAAACCCTCCGAGTTTCAACAGAGGAATCTCTCCAAGAACTAGTTCAGGATTTCTTTGTTTCATTTAGTTATAAAGAAATAAAACTATTTATCAAAGTTGAGTTTATTGTTATTTATTGTTGTTATTATTTGACAGGAACCAAATGCAGACACAAAAAGCTGAAATGATTTCTTGAATATTTAATTAACCATAAGTCCAACAGAAGTAACAATGCGAAACATAAATCCACAAAAACTGAAAACCAGGAATAGTCCCAAGAAAGGGGCAAAAAAATGACAAAAAAAAAACAGCAAAGAGTGACTGAATAGGAGGAGAATAAATGGGAGAGAGAAACAAAGACCAGGCTAATTAGCAGATTGGGAGCAGGTGTGAACAGAGGAGACTAGAAGGGAGCTAGGGGAAAAGGAGACTGACACAAGAGGGCAAACAAGAAATATCTAGCAACTTAAATACAATCAGAAAATGGAAATAAGACCAATAAAACTCAGAGATAAATCTTGATCAGAACCAAAACCATGACAGAATGAATGGAGGTGTCATGATGCTTTTAAGTGATCTGACCCACATGCAGAAAACCGGGGGAAAGTTTAACAGGTTTATTGAAGAGAACAACAGGAAGTTGAATCTGGAACTCAGAGAGCTGATGAACCGGAACTAGAAGTGAGAAGGGAAGTTCACAGCGGTTAATTCAGTGGCCATAGGAAGACTGGATAGAGTTCTTAAATATAGAGGAATTGGGACTCATGTTGGAGGGGGCGACAGTCTTTCCCTTGAATCCAGAACGTGTGGGTTTATCCAGAGGAAGGGCAACTCGTTGGAGGGCCGACTGGTTGGTTTAGGTTCAAACCTGAGGAGCAATTGAGCGGACTGCCACTTGGAATTCCGAGGGAACTTGAATGGGTCGTGTGGAGTTTTTTCCCCAGTGTGAACACAAAAGATCCTTCCAGGAGGAGAAGGCCAATCCAGTTTGAGAAATTTGAGAAATCCAGTTTGCAGGAAGGCTTCCTGCCGAAAGCCAAAGACATAAACAATGTTAAAACTCAGAGAAACTAAGGCTCAGGTTAGACTCAGCTAATCTCAGCTTGGCTAGAGTACCCAAAGCTGGCAAACACTCTGGCGTCGAGGTAGTGACAGCCCACAGCTCAAATACTCCTCAGTAATGAACCAACGAGCCGCAGGTGTGCAGGAGGACCAACGAGGACAGGGCACCACCTGGTGGTGGAGGGAGAGACAAACACAAAACAACCCACATAAACTGGATTCCTAACAGGAAGTGGGTAATAGAAGTTCTATTATAAAATCTGTGTCACTAATAACCCTTTATATCCTGAAATCCAGGATAAAACCTTATTAACTTTGTAACATGAAAAAATATGGGTATTTGGATGGCAAAAATGAATGTCAATGTAATAACATGAAACACCAACTTGTCCTGAATATATTAAGAAAAATGTTTCTATAAGAAATTTATGAAAAACACTGAGAGTTAAAGAAACACTTTTTTTGGTGCAACAGGTTGTATCTTTGTGATGAAAGTTAGTGGGGCGTCTGAGGGTGGGGGCTGATAGAGCTATTGTTAAAAGACACAAACACTTTCAATTGGGTTTATATTTTCCAATAATAAACATATATTTATTGAATGCTTTCCTATTGTTGAGAACACAAAAGAACCAAAACACAGATATTTATATTTATAGGTAGTTAGACATTAATGTATATAAAAAGGAAGAATAACAGCCCATGCTAACAGCAATATATCATGCCTCCCTAGTATGGAATTTCAGTTTAATCCATCCATCCACCAAAAATATGGATGGATCTAATTAAGACAGTTCCTCTGTCTGGATATAAAGTTATAATCTTCATTCTGTACGTGGCAAAGATTAGGGAATGGAATGAGAGCGGCGTCCTTCAGCTAAGAAGGAAGTGTAATATTTTGATAAGGCTGGAGCCATGGATGTCTAATCATCTGGTAACGAGTATGATGTAATGATTTAATGATGTGGCAGACTGGAGATGTATAAAATGCCTCTTTACTGTTAATCGGGGCATTACCTGGCTTTATACTTTATAAGAACAAGTATAAAGCCTCTTTATTTCCCAGATAAAGGCAGCTGCCTTCTGTAACTCTAAGCAACTTCTCTGATCTGAGTAAGATTACAATTTCTATCAGAATCTGTTCTCTGGAAAAAGGATCTAGAAATAAGTGAACTATTTCTTAAATTAAGGGTATTTACCCTTCATTTCAGTAGGTAAATTAGATAGTTTGCCAATGGGATGAGTATTCTTAACTCTTAAAAAAAGATAATTAGATAATATGCTCTTGGAATAAGACAATGCAATTATTTTTTCTTATTTTAAGTGTAGATTGTCTTGTTCCATTGGCAAAATGTATTTTTTAGCTCCTCAATTCAAGAACAAATGCACTTATTTTAAGAAAAAAATGACTTATCTAGATTATGATTTTTTTTCCCAGTCATGTTTCCTTGTTATTTAATACATATAAGTTATGAAGTGTTATTTAAAGTACTTTCAGAAGTTTGTATTCTGAATGTGACCAGACATCTCCTTTAAGGAACCTTTTGCTATCTGTTTATTAATCGATTAATAGAAAAATAATTGAGAGATTAATTGATTTGCAAAATAATCATTAGTTACCGCCCTAATGTTTTTTTTCATATTTTTTTTCACATTGGATCTTGAACTTTTCTTCATCATTTCCACAATTCACTGGGATGTGCGAAGTGGCTTAGTAACAGTAGGCTACACCCTTGTTTACCCCCTGCTCACATGTGCATTATCTGGATTAATTTATAAAAAAAAAAAATCTGAGCCAAAGCATAGATCACAAAGATAACACATCAATTTTATTCAATTGGGTTTATTTATATAGTTCCAGTTCACAACACATGTCATCTCAAGGCACTTAACAATTCACCAGATCATCCAGTCAAATTGATTCAAAATGTTCTATCTTAGGAAAGCCAGTTGATCGTATCGAGTCATTGACCTGAAGGTAATCCCTCACACTAAGCATGCTTGTAGCGACAGTGGAGAGGAAAAACTCCCTTTTAACAGGTAGAAACCTCCAGCAGAATCGGACTCAGTGTATGCAGATGAGGGTTAGGGTTAACAGGAGCACATGAGGCAAAGCTACTATGAGAAAAAGCAGAGAGAGCAGAACGTTAGAGATTAAACTAACAGATTCTGCAGAGTGGGAGAATAGAAATAAAATGAAGCAGATGAAAAAGGGGTCCCTATGTCCTCCAGCATACGAAGCCTATAGCAGCATAATAGCTCAGGATACCAGTTGAGCCACTCTAACTATAAGCTTGATAAAAACATGCTAATCTTTCAAGGAAACCTTAGTAAGGTATTGGTTGTGACGATGCACATTTAAGGGGTGCTGAACACAAGTACACTTGTACTATTTTCCTCAAACTTCACAAATATGTAATTATATGTAATAAAAGACACTTCTGTGCCTCACAGAGTACAAACACTTTTGAAATGAATTGCAACTAGTAGCAAAAATGACCTGATAAGAACTGCTCCTGTAAGCTAACAGCTAGGGCTCATTACTGAACTCATGATTGCTTCCAGTTTACTACTGGCAGAGCAAACAAGGCTCCCAATCTGGTTATATAAGGACCAAATGGCCCACAGCAGGGGGCCCAAAACAACATATGAGTGACTCGGGACATAAGCTGTCTTCAGCTCAACAAAACAGACAGAATCTTATTTCAAACTTCAACCCACCCTCAGATATTCATGCCAAAAGAACTGCTTCATGTTTTACAATCAGACAAATAACAGACTTTTTCTTCATGATTAGACTTTCAGTTTAATTCTCCTCTCAAAGGCTGGAACTTTTATTTCCTCCTGCTTATTTTCTTTAATGTACTTTAGAGAGAGGAAGAGGATGATGTGGTTACTGGACAATCAATCTGTCTACCCATTCCATTGTCTTCCACTTATCCAGTATGGAGTCATGCAGGGACTTCATGTCCAGGAGGTAACCCCGGACATCCCATCGCAGGCCACACCCACCAGCTCATTCTGGGGAAACCCAAGGTGATCAGATAACATATGAGTTTCCTCTGGTGATGTCTGGGTACGCTTTCAGTGAGGCAGCCGCTCTGATACAGACTGCTGGGCTCTGATGTCAGTGAGCGCCAGCTGGGATCAAGGTCAAAATGAAGCAGACTGGATATGGAGTGAAATTTGTCTCATTTTTGTTGGAAGAAGCAAAAAACAGATTTAGTGAAGGGTAATTTCAAACAAAACTTTAAAAAACTTCTTAACCGAAACAAGGTTTTGAGCGTCGCTTTGCTGTTTTCTCAGATTCAATTTTATACATTTGGTTTCTTTATTTTTTCTTGCAGATTTTACATTTTCAAAGTTTATTTCTTTTAGTTCTCCTTTTCAGATTGAGTATTATAAATTGCTTTCTTTTCCAATTGTGTTTTATTAGGGTGACCAAACGTCCGTATTTCCCGGGACATATCCGTATTTCACGTCCTGTACCGGGCGTCACAGGTTAGTTTTTTTTTTAGAAAGTGAGGAAATGTC